AAAAAAAAAAAAAAAAAACTAAGAAGAAAGTGCATGCAAAACTCTTTTTTCTGGGAAAGTGAGAAAGGAAAAGCAGAACAGGCTTAGAATATAGTTATTTAGATTATGTCATTTTCTTAATCACCAACACAACGGCAATCTAATGTTATGTGATCTGTTCCCAAAATATAAATACAATTAGAGAATAGCTACGTGAAGAAACTAATTAACACTATCTTGGAATTGTAGCATCGAATAGCTTTTGCACTCGTTTTCTCACAACAACTTGAGTTCTTTTAAGGAATTTTTATGTTCTACGTGAAATGTTAACACCATATTTATTTTAAATAAATACCATTTAAAAAATTATATTCTATAGATACTTTTTAATGTTTATAGCAAAATATCTAATTTTGGTTACCTCTTACCCGTAAATCACTAAATACGCTATTCAGTTATATTATTTTCTTTCTCTCTCTACTTTAATACATGCTATTCTCTTCCCCCATTCCCTAAAAACACGATGCTCAATCTCAAAATTCCTCTCACCCACATCACCTACTGTTAGTCACAAACGGTGATTTTGCCTAGTATACCACGAAGACTTCTCTGACGAACCAACTCCGAAAGACGGATAATTCGTGCTTGAATTGTGAACTCTCTGATAATGGGGACGCCTTTGCTGTTGGTGATTGCCATAATAATTGGGTGAGGAATTTCGTGTGTGATTATGGGGAAGTTGGGAAGAATGATGAGTTTGCAGAGTACTCATAGTTTCTTTGATGGAGAAATAAACGAACAAAGTTGTGGATGTTCTTTGAGTTCTTGAAAACAAACAAAGAGCAGCAGAAACTAATGTAATGAGAGCCGAAAATTAAGGTTTGTTCTTGAATAAAGATGACGGAGTTTGGGGCTTAGCAACTTGATTTTCTGTTTTGATATTTTAATGTATTTTCAACGTATCACGCTGTATTTTCATGTATTTCATTGTATTCATTGTCTTTTTTTCATTGTAATTCAATGTATCTCGCTATATTCTGTGTATTTCATTGTATTCACTATCTTTTTTTAATTATATTTCAATGTATCCCATGTATTCTATGTATTTTATTGTATTCACTGTCTCGCTATATGTCATGAATGTATTCATATGTTTTTTTTTAATTAATATAATTTATGTATTCGAATGTATTATATAATTTCTTTGAAGATTGCTATGTTTTTGGGGTATTTTTCTGTTGAGAATCTTTTTTATAACTGAAAATACAAAATTTGTGTGTTATAATTGAATTTGTTGAGTTATATTGGGAGTCTATTATGTTAATTGATTCACTTTTTGTTTAAAAACAGTGTAACCCCCTGTTTCACGCCATGAATACAGTCGAATACAATAATCTATCTAGCTGTAATCCCATGTTTCACGCCATGAATCCAATCGAATACACCCAAATACAGTAGCTTAAATACATCTTATAACAACAAAAAACGTATCTACAATCCGTAATATAGCAAATGGTATCTATAGATAGCTAATTACCACTAAAAGATAGTGCTTTATGAAAATTTCTCTTGTTTTAACTACTAGATTTACATAATATGTGGCTGTAAACGTGGGCTCAGCTGAAGACTCATCAATGAATTTGGCCCAAGTGCATGTCTTAGAGAGCAGGCCCAACATCAAGTTATATTTACACTACAATTTTGTGATGACCCAAAAGGTCATCACTTGTGTTGCAATGAAATTCTACGTTCCGAGGCCTTAAAAACCTTCTTAGCACCACCTTGATTAGCGTGCGCAGTCCGGGCGCATAGCCGGAAAGCTTAAATGTGAAAATTTGTGAAAAATGATAAGTTTTGACTGTAAAATGAATAAATTTGACTTCAGTCAATAATTTGGGTAAACGGACCCTAACCCATGATATGACGGTCCTGGAGGGTCCGTAGGAAAATATGGGACTTGGGCGTATACCCGGAATCGGATTCCGAGGTCCCAAGCCCAAGAAACGAATCTTTTAAAGAAAATTGTTTTCTGAAATTGTTTAAAGAAATTTGAAATAAAATTTGCTTAGAACATGGTGGTATCGGGCACGTATTTTGGTTCCGGCGCCCGATACAGGTCTTATATATGATTTAAGATATTTCTGTGGAATTTGGTAAAAAACGGATGTCATATGACGTGATTCGGACTTAAATCGCAAAATTGATATTTAAAGAAGTTTTGAGAAAAGTTCATTGATCTCGAGATTTAATTTGATGTTCATGATGTTATTTTGATGATTTAATTATACGAATAAGTTCGTAGGATGTTTTTGAGGTTTTATATGCGCTTGGTTTGGAGTTCGGAGGGCTCGGGTGAGTTTCGGGTAGATTTCGGGGTGTCTTAGGCTTAAAACCTGAGCTGTTGCAGGCTGAGAGAGGTGGAGGACCTCTGAACAGGCCAGTGCAGTCCGCACGATATGGACTGCTGCCGCGGAGAGGCCTGTGTGGCCGCACTAGTTTTGGTGCGGTCCGTGATGAAGAACAATTCACTGGTCTGATTTTAGAAGCCTATATCTTTTGATCTACAAGGAATGTTGAGATAATTCAAATACGAAAGTTGTAGCCCTTCGTGTCTAGTTTTCAGAAAGGTAAAGAAATCATAATTTGCACATCTTTAGAGAAAGTTATGGCCAAAATACTAAGACCTATCACTGCAGAACACAGGAAGCCTGTGCGGCCGTGGTTGACTTTCTGCGGTCCGTACAGGCCATCTGAGAGTAGTATATTTAAACGGGATTTTCAGTTATTTTTTATTTTTTAAAACCCCAAAAACATAAGAGGTGATTTTTCAAACAACATTTCTTCTCCAAATCAATTGTAAGTCGTTTTTAACTAGTTTTCTTCAATTATTAACATATTTTAACATGATTTCAACTTCAAATCAATGATTTTCATGGGGAAATTGGGTGTTTTGGGTAGAACCTAGGTTTTTCAAAAATTGGGGATTTGGGCCTCAATTTGAGGTCCGATTCCAAATTACATATTTGAGGTCGTGGGGGAATGGGTAATCGGGTTTTGGTTCGAACCTCGGGTTTTGACCACGTGGGCTCGGGGGCAATTTTGACTTTTTGGGTAAAACTTTGGAAAACTCATTTTCATGCATTCAAATTGATTCATTTAGCATTTATTGATGTAATTAAGTAACTTGTGGCAAGATACGAGCGAATTGGCAGAGGAATCAAGGGGTAAAGCTATAATTGAAACTTGAGTTGTGTTCGAGGCATCGAGGTAAGTGTTTCGTCTAACCTTAGCTTGAGGGATTAGGAGTTGTGTCCTATTTGCTATTTTCTTTTTATTGAGTACGACGTATAGGCATGGTGACGAGTATCTATATGTTGGTGTCAAGCATGACCGTGGGTCTTATATTGTGATTTTCATGACGTCATTGTATTATTCATGCCTTGGTGAACATTTATATTTGTTGTGTAAAGTTTTGGAAAGAATTGTGACCTATGAACATTGAGGAGCGTTGGCTCAAGTTGTATAACGAATTGTAAAGTAAAAGTGAGAAAGAGAAGAGATTATTATGTTGCCCCTTGCCGGGCTATTGTTGAGTTGTGGTTCCCTTGCATTGTGTTCTTAATTGGTATTACGGATGTTTAGGTTGATGATTCTTTGTGTTAGGTATTGTAACAAGTTTAGTTATAGCTGAAGTAGTTAGGTGTTGTAACGAGTTTAGTTATAGCTGAGGTAGTTAGATGTTGTAACGAGTTTGGTTATAGCTGAGGTAGTTAGGTGTTGTAACAAGTTTAGTTATAGCTGAAGTAGTTAG